GGGGGGGGGGGGGGGGGGCTTTGTTGGTGTCCCGTTTAGCCTCTCCGATCCGGCAGCTGCTTGCCGAGGAATCTGCTGTTTTAGTGGGAAATTTGCCAAGCATCAGGTAAAATGTGGGGATGAAGTTTCATCCTGCTTCCCACATTGTTGAGTCTCAAGAAAAGTCCACAAGAATCCTGGAACTGCAGAACACCTGGAACTGCAGAACACCTGGAACTGCAGAACACCTGGAACTGCAGAACACCTGGAACTCAACCGTCCCCAGGGGACACCAAGCCCACCATGGCAAAACAAAAGATATACTTTACACTATTGCAGAAGGTATCAGAGCATTTATGATATAGAGACCCACTGATGTGACCAAATGCATGAAGGAGTCAGGTGCCCTCATGCAGAGTCACCATCCCTGCCCTCACCCAGAGTCACCATCTCAGCTCTCACGTAGAGTCACCATCTCTGCCCTCACCCAGAGTCACCATCTCAGCCCTGACGCAGAGTCACCATCTCAGCTCTCACCCAGAGTCACCATCCCAGCTCTCACCCAGAGTCACCATCTCTGCCCTCACCCAGAGTCACCATCTCAGCCTTCACCCAGAGTCACCATCTCAGCCTGCACCAGGAATCTCAGGTAAACAATCTTCTGCTCCTCTGCTGTCTTTCATTCTCACAAAACCAAGGGAACATGGTCGTGAGTTGAGCATAGGACAGAAAATAATCAACACGTGTTAAAAATAAACCGTGCTGAACAATACCCCAGTGATACGTGCATGAACACACAACCACGTGCAGACTCTTTGACAGAGATATGCCTGTTTTGTTTTACCTATGCTGTGGTATACATCTGGCTCACTAGTCACAAGGTAAGCTCTACAATTAGAGAGCTATTACGGCATTTCCTGTGCTGAAAAAGCAAAATCATGGTTGTACCGTAAGCCAAAGGCTAGAGTTATGTATGGAATCCGATCAAAGAACTCATAGAAAATCCATAGACAAGAATTACATTTGCACAACAGCAGCATGGCAATTGATTTAGGGGGTGGCATGGCAATAAGTGGCATTTCTTTTGTCAGGAGGCTAGTAGAGCCTTTGGTTTTGGAGAGTACTGTACATGTCCCTCACAGATTTCTAAGCCAAGACCCCCTCAGAAGATGACGCCCTAGGCGGTCGCCTGTGTCGTCCATGAAGGCAGATTACAGGGGTTCGGTTGCACTGAAATTTGGTAATGTTTGGCTCCTCCCCCCCTGAGAGTGACATGCTCAGACATGTCATAGTTTCATCATAAATGGCAGCACCCCCCACCTGAGCCACAAAACCATTAGCCCCCCCCCCCTGTGTACCGGCCGGCCTCTGCAGCGACATACTGCGCTACACGGTGGGACAAAGATCACCAGAGAAGCGAAGAGGTTCCTTCATTTTCCCTGACAATTTGAGAGCAGGCAGCTCACATTTAGACAGAATGGACGACATTTCAGAAAAGAAAGGATCTAGTTTTAATGATCGTGGGAAAGAGCTCCCAGAATTCAGTGTGTGATTGCTGGCAGGAAGCCAGGCATCATGCAACGCTCAGGGTTTCTGGTTTTTCCATGTGCTTTTACAACAACCAGGAGCTCGAGTTACCCCACAAGAGGACACCTGGTAATGGATTAACTCATCATAATTAATCACGGAAGGAGACAACAGGGTCATATTTAATTGTGAAGATTTGATTTCCTTACCTTTTCTTTAATGACCTGTGCCATCTTGAACAATAAGATCGAAACAGCAGTACTTTAAGTACATATAATTAAATAATCTGGTAAAACAAAAAAAACGGTTAGACAATCCTCATTATAGCCTTTGCACACTGCGGAGATCCAGAATCTTTCACGGCTGTTAATTTGGATCATTTTCGCATGTTTCAGCATGGTGACAAGCTCGAAAAGGTCCTGTTTTAAAAACCTTGCCTGCAGCATTATCTGAAGTTTATAAAATTATTGGACCAGGAAATTGGAAGGAAAACCTATGTATGAACATGGAGATTTGGGCACCACTGAATCAGTTTTTGTTTCTCTGTAATTCCTGAGATGAATGGGACTGGATCCATGCAGCTGTTTTCTCAATAGGCCATAGGCCACCCCACCCCACACAGAATCAATTTTTTTCCTCAAAATAGGATTTTTCTTACAACAGTAACTTTATCATAGTTACGTGGATAAAACTGATGGTTGAGAAATCAGCTGTGTATTGTGCTGTCATTGACATTTTTATTAGTGCCTCCATTTACAAAATTTAAATGCAAAGAAATAACCACTTTGTGTTTAATTGTCCCATTATTCAAAGGAATTACCCAGTACAGGGAGTCTGGAACTTATCATAGGCAGCAAAGGACACATTGCACTGATATACCCTGGACGGGATGCCAGTCCATCGCAGGGCACTAAGCCGGGGTATACCCTAGACGGGATGCCAGTCCATCGCAGGGCACTAGGCAGGGTGCACCATAGATAGGATGCCAGTCCATCACAGGGCACTAGGCTAGGCTACACCCTGGATGGGATGCTAGTCAATTGCAGGGCACTAGGCAGGATGCACCATAGATAGGATGCCAGGCCATCGCAGGGCACAGTGCTGGGTACACCCTGGATGGGATGCCAGTCCATCGCAGGGCACCAGGCTGGGCTACACCCTGGACGGGATGCCAGTCCGTCACACTGGTTAGCTTAACTGTATGCTTGTGGACTGCCAGAAAAATCCAGAGGACACAGGAAAGCCACACACAATATGAGGAGAAAATACAAACTAGCATGAAACAGCATGGGGCTGCGCTTGAGCTCTGCTGCCTGGTTTCTCACATTTATCAAATTTAATTCTTTAAAATGCAGTTGCACTGAGCTCATGTAAGCCAAGCAGGGCTGATACCTCCACAGTGCTGTGGAAACTATGCAACTGAAGATCTCAGTGCAACTGCTGGCGGCAGATCATTACACAAATGGCAAGTATTATCATGCAGGGTATCTGGAAAGGGGGAGAGTCACGCTGGGACACCCAGCTGAGGGAATCAGAGATCAGAACCATGCTATTTACTGCTATTCACTGACAGCTATGAAGCATGGAGTGAGCCGCAGAGGATACTGATGGACTCTGGGAAAGGTAAGGCGGTGTTATTTACTTTGTTTTTCAACTAACTGGCGGTATTTATACATTTTCAGTGCATTATTGTCAATATACAGCTCAGGAAAAAAATTAAGGAACCACAGCAAAATTTTCAGCTTCAGTCATTTCAAAATTAATGGGTCTGTGTAAAATATACATCTTTTTGCAACCTCCAGTCCGGCTCTTCCCTGCTTCTCATTAATGAAGGGCTTCTTCCTTTTGCTTTATGGGTCTTCAGTCCTGCTACTAGGAGCCTGATATGAACTGTCCTAGCAGTACAATTCACACCTGCACTTAATCTTTCTCATACTTTTTGAAGGTCACTCAAGGTCATCCTCCATATATATACATATACACACACACACACACACACACACACACACACACACACAGAGTACTGTGCAAAAGTCTTAGGCAGTCCAAAGAAATGTTTAAAGCTGTTTATAAGTGTACTTTGGCTTAGAACAAAAATTTTACATTTAACATTCAATTTAACATTAGAACATGTGCAAATTAAGAGTAACACAATAAAAACTAGTAATAATTTCTAGTAAGTTTTCTAAAAAGTAACTGATATCTAGTTGGACGGCTAGATGAACACCGCTTCAGTTCCCAAACCTCTCCTCAGGGGCACCTCAGCCGTTCCATGATTTTGTTAAATTTCACCAACAGCTCAATTAAATAATTAAATAAATTGGTTTAAAAAGTCAGTGACAGGTTGACCAGCTGTACGAGATGTGCTAGTGGCCAAGTCAAAAAATACATGGCTGCACTGGACGGTCGCTGCAAATACTGGGATGATTTTAGCAGAGGTTCTGAAATGGCTAAGCTGGCACACTTTGACAGGCATAATATCATAGTTTTACACCAACATGAGGATAATTTAAACATCATTCTCTTTGCCTGCCTAAGACTTTTGCACAGTACTGTGTATGTGTGTGTGTGTGTATATATATATATATATATATATATATATATATATATATATATATAAACAGCAGTTTTCTGTGGTTTTTCATAGTCTACTAACTGACAATATTTATACATTTACAGTGCACTGTTGTCCGTATATACATATATACACATGTTTGTGTGTGTTTGTATATTACATTTAATCTGCTATTAACTGCCAATGTTTATAATTGGTATGTATATATTACATTGTGGGGATCAAATGTCCCCACAATGTGATACGAAAAAAAAATTCCCCAACAGGGGAAACTCAATTTTATAACGTTCTGTATCTGCAATCAAAAATCCCAAAATGCCGAAAGTCTTGTATTTTGTTTGGTTGCTTATGGTTGGGGTTAAGGTCATTATTGTTGGGATTAGGGTTTTTCCCATAGAAAAGATGTGAATACAGACGCCTGCATGTTGTATGTGCAATTTCCTGTGCCTTTCTTTGTGAATATTCTGTGTATATTTCAAGGAACATTGATGAAGTCCAAAGGTTAATGGACTGACTCTTTCAAGGACAGGCAGTAAGTGTAAAAATGCTCCAGATGGTGCTCTTTGTTAGCCGGACCAGTGCTGCAGTGCCGTTTCTGCCTTTTGATGGGAATCTCAAAGGGAAATTCACAGATTAGGTCAGAGGTAGAGAACGTCTTACTCAGAGCAAAGCACCGGGGCATAGTCGGCTGTAAACTCCAGAGAGTACTAAATAAAATGTCCTGGAATCCTTATGTGAAACTATATGTATTATCCAATTGATGTCTATTCTGGATCGAAAGCCTGAGTAGTGCAATTTTTTTAATGCAACAGGCTGATTTGGTAACAGGTGAATGTTTTGATGCTGTGGTTAAGCACTGCCCTCTAGAGACAGCGAAGCAAGTTGCAGGGATTGAGGCTGAGTGGGGAATCTCTTGGGCGAGTGACCGGAAAGGAATTCCATACTACTAAGCACATTAATAAAATTATACTGTAAGCAAAACAGAAATATACCTACAATTACTCCATTAATTACTCCATTAATTTATTGTGTATTAATTGTCAATAAACTGATACTGTGTGTTGCACTGTTTAAGCTGTTGCATTTTTCATTATTATTTAAATACAACTTTCAATGTATTATATATACACATAACACCCCCCCCCCCACCTGGTGCATTGTTGAGGGTTTTTTCACTTTATGTACAATGAAACCCTCCCCTTGTTACATGCTGTCTGTGTGTTGCCCATAGTATTGGAGTAACGCTATTTCAGGTACTATGTACCTGTATCTGGATGGTGTAACAATACAGCCAACTTGACTACACTTGACTTGCAATGTTAATTCCTTGGCCATTTGGGATTAATTTAAGCAATGTCTTCAGAAAAGAGATAATTCAAATAGACTCATGCATCTCATGCCAATTTATAGTGACGACTGACTTGGTTTACGAAAGGAGGCCATTTTAAGTGAAGGAGGTGACTTTGATCTGTATGACTTTCTTTGGCCGTATAGAAAAGCAGGTGCCACGGCCTCTAAAGGCGCAGACTGGAGCAAGACCGTCCCCAGTTTACAAGACAATGGGAGGGGGTATGGGATCCATAGCCGCTCAGAGGTGTGTGGAATATAGAAAAGAGACTCCTCTGTGATTTCAGTGCAATCAGAGATCAGAGAACAGCTTTAAACGCCAGAGAAGACAGACAGTTTGCAGCCGAAGGCTCCCCATCAGAACAATGTCACTGTTCTCACCTTACGGTCATTGATCTACCACCGAACCCCCACCGCACTCACCGATCTCACACAAACCCACCCGGTGTAGACTATGTCACCGAGAAGGCCCTCCAGATGGACAGCGCATAATTGGCGGGAAGCGATAAGGCAAAGTGACGGGATTAGAGACAACCTTCCCGGAATGAAGACTCAAACCGCTTTATGATCAGGGTACAATATTGCAAACATGGCGAACAAGGTTCATAACATAGATATTCTGTTATGTTTCAGGCTATTTTCCTGCCCAGATCAATGTAAATGTGTTGCAGTTTAAGTTAGTGTTTCAGGCAGTCTACGTTTTTGCTAAATGCGGACTGTCTGGCAGGGAGCTGGGAGAGAGCAAAAGCGTAGACCGTCTGGGGGTCCCCGAGGACCAGATTGAGAAACACTGGTTTAGATAACTATGTAGCGCAGGGTGAAGACTCCTTTTATCTTAGGAATCATTTCAACAGATGAAAAGAAGCGTGTTCAGAGGTGCTTTTCTGCCCACCTCTGTTGTACCTGATATTCTTACGTCTATGGCCTTTCTGTCGGCTCTGACGACTCTACCCATTCCCCTCTGATTTCTCTCATTAACGAGGTGTTTTTTTTTGTCACAGAGCTGCCTCTGATTGGATGCCTTTTGTTAAGTGCACCGTTCTCTGAAAGCTCTACACACAGTGGTACGTAAAAAATCCCAGGACGGCGGCTGTGCCTGAGATGCTGGAACCGGCACGTCTGGTACCGCAAATCATACCGCATTTAAAGGCACTAAGATCAGACGCCTTTGCCGTTTTAATCCTCAGTCACACGAGTTACTGAGCCTGGCTGCGTGCTGTATTTATTCAGTTGCAAACCACATGGTTTACTGTTTGGGGGGGGGGGGGGAGCTGGCTGTTTAACAAGCAGGTGTATCTAATAAAATGGCCACTGAGGGTTTGTGTTTCAAAGGAGTTTAAAACTACAAGCCATTTAAGTTGCTCTGTACAGAGATATAGCTGGAGGCAGATAATACATATATCCATATTCTGAACTTTGATCACCATAGCTATGGTGTCACACACTTTAATATCCCTTTGTTAAGTACCACAGAACTCTCTGGCGCAGGAGTAATGTTTGACTGTATATTTAGGCGTCTTGTTTGATCATATACTTATTCCAGTTTTTGTGAAATTCATCTGTTTGTGAAGTAAAATAAAAACATCTACTGTGACTTACGGCTGGAATATGAGCGTCCTGTCCGAGATCCGATCCTTCATTTCCTCAAACAACCGCAGGCAGAAACCTGAAAATGGATATATACCGGTAAACCTGGAAAGCGGATATTTTCTACCAAAAGAATCAAAATACCAGATTGTTCCCCACAGGATGAAACCTCAATGGGAATAAAGGAAACACACCTACCCACTAGAGAGGCTGCTTAACCAGCACATGTGTGTCTCTACATTCTAAGTCTGTGCTGTGGGTTGCTGGGTCTGCCTCACTTTGTGTTTATGGCCAACATCTTACATAGTCATTAAACGTCCACTTCTGGCTATCAAACAGTGCGTAAGTCAAGCAGAAACCAAACTTTAAGAAAGTTGTCAGTGACACGTTACTTAGTAACCCTATTACTGCTCAAGTACAAATCGTGCAAATCATGAACAAGTAATTGCATGAAATACATGATTGATTACTGATGAACGAACATGGGATCAATAACTAACTAGCACTTACGTTCTGGTTTAATTCGATAAATATTAGACCCCAGATGGAGAGAACTGTGAGAGGTTCCAAAAGAGCGAAACAGGCAGCGATACGATGAGTTTTTATTTAACGCTTTGAATACTTCTTCAAGCCACACTTGCCTCATGGCTGCCGCAAGAGCAGTAAACTCACATTAAACTCACAGTAAACTCACATTAAACTCACAGTAGACAGCATCCAAATGGAACTTGACTATGGCAAATATGCATTGATCCAAAAATGTGTAAGACGATTAACTTGATTTAATTTATATCAAATTGAATCTAAACAAATTCCAAACACACCAGCAAAGTAAATGCTTTATGCAGCTTAAGCAACCACTTAACAAAATTAAAAAATCATTTTTTATTATTCGAAAATAACAAAATGAAATGCACAAAAAACTGATTTCAATTAGGTAATTCTAGTGAATGCAGCTTGGTAAACTGTAGCATTGTATTCTGTTAGATCTAGAGATTTGGTCTGCATCTGAAAACCATATGAAACTGCAGAAGCCTTCAATATCTTTCAGGTTAAAACATGCATTTTTTATTTATTTTTTTAAAATAGCAAAGTACATTACTGTTGACAACAACCTTCCAAAATGCATCAAATGTGCAAGTGACTGCAAGTTATTAATGCACAGTTCATTTATCTCTTTGGCGTTTTGAAATGATTTCCGATCAATGATTGTATGAGGGAATAAATGTGTGTCTCAGGACAGAGTGCTGACACACTGGGGGTGTGTGAATGACTTCTTTAAAAGCCTGGTGATGCGTGTGACAGAATACAGAGCACAAAAGGGAGCTCTGGCCTGCTCCGGAAACTGACTGGCTTTCATTTCTCTATTACGGTGCTTCCAATAGTAATTACTACAAAGAGATAAAAGAGCCATAATTGAATACCAGTGTCATTATGGAGAACCAGCTGGACATCACTCTGCCATATTTGTAGCGAGAAAGATTGCTGCAGCATGACAAATGTCATGGGTTCAGGTAATGGCAAGAGATGCCATCTTTAAAACAGCTCATAGGAATATTTTGAAGGCAAAAGGAAAAAGAATGATTGGTTCAGAGAAATAACCAATCAAATTGCAGAAGAGGTGGATCCAAGTAACTAGAGGCGGCGGGGCCAACCAATCAGATGTCTTGGTTCCGCCTCCTCTAGTTGCTTGGTTATGAGTGAATTGGATCAAAGTCACATGGTATGATTCCCATCAGAAAGGTAATATAAAAACCTAGCTTACTGTTCCTAGCAGATTATCACACTAGTATGCTGTTACACTACACCACTCAGAGTGAACTGTACCCAGTTTACTAATGTCCTGAACGGATTGTCAGATTAAACAAGCATTCCTAGACCACAACCAAACTGTCATGAACTCCCAAAGGACATACCAGCAACAGCGCAAATGATTGGCTGCTCCTCAAGCCCAGTTTTCATTGGTACTTGACATCTGGTGTAAAACATGTTTTTTTTCCAAGGTTTAAGCAGCTTAGATATATAGATTTTAATAAGCACCTGCAGGTGAGAATAACTATCCAGTAACTACTCCAATGCTTCAGTTATTTTAGGATGTGTTTAAATGATGCCTGCAATGGGTTTGCACGTTGTAAGTTTTAAGGGTCTTGTAAAGGGCTATTCAAATCGTGGTTCTCAATGGCTGAGCACTATTCATTTTCTAGTCAGGTGTGAAGCTTCTGGCCAATCAGAATCAGTAATTATTAAACTAACTACCTGGGAGAACTGAAAACAAGGCCTGGATTTGGAATCGAGGGCCAGATTAGAAGAGCCCTGGTCTTATAAATCAGTGCAAGGTTTTTATATGTGTATGTGTGCATATGGGTTATTTATATATTATATTGTGATAAAAACCTGTTATTTTGAGTGGAGTCAGTCCCCACAAGGGGAAACTCAATTTTATAAAAATCTTTGACTGCAATAAAAAAAACTACTTATTCTTAAGTACTTATGGTTACTTATGCTTAAGGTTAGGACTGGGTAGGGGTTAAGGTTGTCATTGTTGGGATTAGGGTTTTGTCCATAGAAATAAATGGACGGTCCCCACAAAGATATGAATACAAGTGTGTGTGTGTGTGTGTGCGTGCGTGCAGATTGTGTAATATAATGTTTATATTACACTTTAGGGACCAAATGTTCCCCACAATGTAATAAAAACCTGTTATTTTGACGTTGTGGGGACCATTTTTCAGGTCCCCACAAAGATCTGTGAATGCAATCAAAAAACTAAAAAAAATACTAAAGTCTCATATTTTGTTTGGTTACTTATGCTTAAGGTTAGGGCTGGGTGGGGGTAAGGTCGTCGTGTTGGGATTATGGTTTTCCCCAGGGAAATGAATGGAGAGTCCCCACAAAGATATAATTACACACCTGTGTGTGTGTGAGAGAGCTTTGGCAGGAGGCGGGACACAATTCTTTCCCACAATTTCCACAATTCTTCAATTCAACCTCTGCACATAATTTCTGCTGTAATCATCATGCAGAATGATGTACATATAGATGGCATGTGGCCTGAAATTGAAACCCTGGGTCTTCAGCAGGTCTCTGAATAAAACAGATTATTAAAGCAGCTGCCATGTGATAAGTGTAGCTTTTCCTGCCACACGACTCCTTTGAACAGCAGTTATCAATTGTACTCATCTGGGAGAGTTACATAAGAGCATAAAATCTATATAGATACACATCTCATACAAGGCAACTGTGACTAGCATCTCATTATCAGATGTCTGGTATTTTTATCAGTTTGCAATAATAGACAATGGTCACGAATAAGGATATGCAAATGACACAGTTGCTTTGGTACAGTTATCATAGCCAGTAAACTAAGTTCCTTTAAGCACCAATATTTTTACATCCCCAGTAAGATGGTATTTTTCCCCCTGTAATAGAACAGCATGATTTAAAGGTCCCATCCTGACAGCTGTGCCTTGTCACCTGAAGTGAATTCTTGCACGTCATAAATTTTTGTTACCATATAAATAACTGGGGGCTTCCCTGCAAGTTTATACTCAGTTTATATATTGCCTAGTTATATCAGGACATTTTTAACATTTTGACACAGATTCCAGTGTTATTCAATAGCATAATCTGCGTGTACTCAAAAACCGCTTTCAGTAGTCTGTGAAAAGGTAAGCTCTTGTTCAAATTATTTTTTAATGTTTCAAAAAAGGAAAGTTATTAGTGAGATATTTCACATACATTCTTTTCGTTTATTCACATTCAAAGGTCAGCAAGAAACTTAAAAGTGCAATAATAACAAAATAACAATTCTGCTATTCAGTGCAAAGAAATTTGAATTAAAGTTTAAAGTAAAGGTTTACTGACTGGAAGCGTATGCAGCATTGTAGACTTTCATTTGGTTGAATGCTGTGTGGAGCTGGTGCAGAGACTGGTGATGTCACAGGAAGTGGCACTGGCTGTCACAGAAAGGTGAGCGGCTAGCGCAAGTGGCGAATAACTGCGAAAGGCCACTTAACTGTAAAGTAAGCGGAAATTCCAGATTTACCTCAAGCTCCCCCTCCTGCCAGATAATGGTTTGGCCCCAGAGAGAGTTTCAGAAGTTCAGGATACCCTCAGGCGCCTTGGAAGGACCCCGTTGTTGCTATGGGCAGAGTGTCAGACGTTGTAAGGAGTGACTCAGCGGCCCCAGGAAAAATGATGCATGTGCATGCGCTCATTGTATTGCTGCTGCATGTGAACAAGGAAACGCACAAGGTCTCCTTCTGGCTGAAACTCTTATTCTGTATGGGTCTTTCTCTGCTAAAAAACACCTGTGCATTGTTTGTCTTCACAGCTACCCACCCACACACACACAGGCACACGAACACACACACACACACACACACACACACACACACACATACATTTGTATTCATATCTTTTTGGGGACCCTCCATTAGTTTCTATGGGCAAAACCCTAATAACCCTAACAATGACGACCTTAACCCCTACCCAGCCCTAACCTTAACCATAAGTAGCCAAACAAAATACAAGACTTTTGGCATTTTTAGTTTTTTGCAGTCACATATTTTTATAAAACTGAGTTTCCCCCCGGCGGAGGCAGGAAAAATGTCCCCCCAAGGTTTTTGTCACATTTTGGGGACATTTTATCACACATAATGTAATATATACATAACTCACACACACATACAGACACACACACACACAGACGCACACACACACACACACACACACACACACACTTATTCTTTTCATTGCCTCTTCACCCTGTAGCTCTCTCACACATCCACAGACACAGACACAGACACACACAGACACGCCCAGATTCACACTCTCTCTCATTCATCTCCTTCTCCGTCACGTGTCAGGCAGCCAGTGTGTCCCGCCCCCCAGTGCCCGGAGAAGCCTGCAGCGCAGCAGTATGTGGCGGGACCTTCCCGGCGCAGGCGGAGCACTTTAACGAGAGTGAGAGACCTGACTGCCAGAGAAGAGAGTGAAGAGCGCTGAAAGAGTTAAAGGACTCGGAATCAGGGACACGGGTTCTGCTGGGAGGGCTACCTTCTGCCCAAGAAGAGGAGCAAAGCAGGGGGGTGAAGAAGCCGAAGCCTCCAGCCATTCACCAGTGGCCTGTGCATGGACTGTGTATCGGGGCAGACACTTTGGGCTGGAGGAGATACCTATCTGACCTGTCTGATTCATTAGACCTCCTAGGCAAAAGAAGCCCCCCCCAGCAGGGACCTCTGTGCCTCACAGGCCCTGAGAGGAGCATGGCAGCCTGACCCATCATGCCCAGCCGGACCGCTTACAGTGCTGGTCTGCTCCCTGTGTCCGCCACCCATGCCCATACGCCCACCTATGCCCCCATCACCCTTCTGTGCCTGCTTCTGCTGCTGAGAATCAGCACCACCTCCGGGGTCCTGTTGGGTGCCAGCGTGGGGCACAAGCCGCAGGGTATGGCGGGCCATCTTCCCTGGGCACAGGGGCGCCAGACCCGCAGCTACGGCCACCTGGAAGGGGAGACGCGGCTGCGGAGGCTCTACTCGGCCACGCGCTTCTTCCTGAACATCGACACCAAGGGACGGGTCAGCGGCACCCGGAAGAACAACCACACTGACTGTGAGTATCCCGCTCGTCTCCATCCATTTCCAGGTGGAACCAGAGGGATTCTGAGGTGAACATGGGAATGAATGATGACTTTATGTGTCTTTGATGTCCGTTGCGTGTGAAGTCCACGCCGAGTCCCGGCTCCACCTTGTTGGCGGCCCACAGCCACGCCAGACACCCCCTACTTGTCTCCCAGCTCAGCTTTTCCAGACCTCGTTCCCAGTCCCTTGGGAACAGTAACAGAGGCGGCTCCCCAGTGCCCCCCAGTGGGCAGGTGCTGGAAAAGTGCAGTCAGTAAGGTCTGGCAGTGCTGAGTGTGGAACAGTCTGGGGCAGGGGGGGCTGGAAAAACAGCATGGCAGCCTCAGAGGTAGGTAATTCAGGTCCATAGAGTAGAAGTCCAGACCAAGATTTTGTTTCAACCAACCAGTTGAGTATAAAGAGTCACAGTCACAGAGTACTCAACTGGTTGGTTGGAACAAAATCTTGGTCTGGATTTGTACTCTCCGGACCTGAACTACCCTACTCTGGGCAGCGTGGCTGGGTAATGCTTGTAGTTGTGCATGAACACAAAAGGTTAGAGTTGACTATTTCTTTGGTTATAAGAATTAACCTCCAGTGTGACGATGGTTGCAATGCAGTAGCTTTCGTTCTCAGAACCAATTAAAGCAAAAAGGCCAACATCATGGATTCAAGCACCTCAGGACTGAACTGTGGCAACTAACATGTAACACAAACACAAGAAGCATATAGCCTGAAATCACAGAAGCAATAGCAACTACGTCACTCAAGGTGCTTCAAATGAGCATCGCCATGACGTCACGCGCTGTCCAGGACAGCGTGGGAACAACGTGTGAGAAAGCAGAGTAAAATTATAGTACAAGCAAGGTATTTGATATCTGAGTTAGGCACATTAACAATTGTTCGTTAGATTTTTCTGGATTGTTTTGTTTTCCTGGGTCTGTTTTGAAATAACAAAAAACATAGATGTCAGTATTGTGGGTGTGTGAGGACATGAAGACACTGACCAATCAGCAGAGCTTTTTTTGTGATGCCGGGCATTTGTAGAAAACACTAGAACCATTTTAGGGATTATCGTTCGGCAACTGGAGGGTTGCAGGTTCAAGCCCCGGTTCCTTCTGACCCCGTCAAAGTGTCCTTGAGCAAGACACTGAACCCCCAACTGCTCCCGGTGTGCAGGTTGGCGTCTTGCATGGCAGCCTCCACCACCGGTGTGTGAATGAGAGCATGGATGGGTGAATGTGAGGCATGAATTATAAAGCACTTTGAGTGCTTGTCGGAGTAGAAAAGTGCTATATAAATGCAGACCATTTACCATTATTTTTATACCTCCTTTGGTTTTAAAACATATAAAATAAGTAATTTAGGGTCCTTTTTATAGCAGATTTTACTTTAGTCCCAGAGTTAATTAGGTATACTCTACTATACTTTTTAGTTCATAGTAAAATACATTGTTGCAAAATCACAGAAAAGGTGGTATGCTACTATGCTGCTACTCGCTGAAGGATCTGAAGAGAAACAAGCTGACACCTTTCATTTTCCAAAAAAGTAAGCAGTGGGACATAGTTTGACCTCTAAATAATTGCTGATGTTATAGACAGCTGTGCTTATTTTCTTTTTGCTTTTTCTTTTGATTAAATCTTGGTGCTCTCTTTTCATAAAAAAAAAACCAAAAACACGGAGAAACTTTGCACCAGATTTATGTGCTTATTTAGTTTGGTCAAGGGAACTTTGGAAAGGATTATGTTTTTCTGTGTTTGTTTATTTATTTTAAACTGAGTTGCCATCATTTGTGGCAGAAGGAAGTCCAATAAAAATAATAATATTAATAATAATTCGTAAGAACTCTTGTTAATAGCTTGATGAGCTTTGGCATGGCAGGGCTGAGATGCTGGGAGAGGACATGAACAGTGCTGGTTGTCATGGGGGTCAGTGTCTGCTGGACTGGCTTGTTATGATGCACTGACAAAAAACACTAAATGTTCCTATTCCTGAAAATAAAGGGGACTCCTAAATTCACGGGAATCTTTTTTTTTTTTTTTTTCTGGAAGGATAAAGCGGCTTGATGATTTAAAATATATTTTAATGACCTAAGATCATAATTTGGCAGTTTTAAAAGCAAAAACCAGCAGCTAGCTAATGTTTTTTTTTTGTTTTTTTTTTCTAGGTTCATTACTAAGTTTGTACTGGAATGAAGAGGCTGTCTGTGTGTTCTGTGTGATCCCCTGCGTGCCTGGGGGGGGTGATACAGTCTGGAAAGACTTAGTCTACTCATAAAATTAAGTTGAAATTTATATTTTCGCAAACAGAGTAAGGTTTAAAACGTGGTTCATATGTAGGGCTGGGCTTTAACTGCTTCCCAGGCAAGACGGATTTAAATCCTAGACATACAGTAGCTTTAACATTCTTGGGGTTATGTGCCAAACTAGATATTGCCATCACTGTTTTTACCACAATGCCAGTCATACTGCCAAAAAGTGTAGCCTTTAGGAAACGTTCCTTCTCTCTGCAGAACCAAGAGACAACATCTGTACAATTTGTGGGAAAACTTCTGATTTCGGTGGCACAGAGGGGGTTTACATGCCCTTAGGGCAGAGTTAACCCAGTCCTCGGGGACCACATTTTTGCTCCCTTCCAGCTCCCTGCCAGACAGTCCACATTATTTTTGCTCCCTCCCAGCTCCCAAGGGACCAAAGACATGGACTGTCTGAGGGTCCCCAAGGACCGGGTTGAGAAATACTGCCTCTAAGGCAGGGGTGGGCAGTCATATCCATAAAGGGCCATTGTGTGTGCAGGTTTTCACTGCAACTCCCTAATTAGATTACTAATTAGAGGTCTGATTGGCTGAAGAGTCCACACCTGGGTTTGAACAGCTGACCTACAGGTTATCCCAAAGACCTACATACACACTGGCCCTTTGTGGATAAGGTTGCCCACCGTATCCTAAGGACTTTTCTGTCTCACACAGCTCAGATACAGCTGTCTATTTTACCTTCTGTTAAGCCTTTGTAGTGAGAAACAGCTGCATTAAGGCAACGGCATGGAAAGTGATGTTTCAGCGCATGTAAGGTCACTGATTATTTGACTTGCGGGGTTTTCGTCATGTGAGATACATCGATGTTTCCCAGAAGACCTCAGGGACTGACAGCCAGTAGACCTTGCAAAACTCATCAATATTGCACCTCCAGTACGGCACATTGTGAATACTAGTAATGATAGAAAAAGACACCGATTCCTTACGATAATTTTCTGTTTTGAAGTATAACCTGATCAGTGAGCTTTGTCACCCTGTTGAACTGCGTTAGGCCATGGAATTTGCGGTAAAGCGTAAAAGCATCATGATTACGATTAGACCTTCCTCTTTTTAACAGACCTACATGCTTTTTCAGGGGTTGCATTGACATCTTGTGCAACCAACCCTGAATTAAAATGCACAGGAGGCAGAGGTGGAATTTGTCAGTGACAGGATATTGATTTGCTTCAGACACAGGAGCAGAGCATGTTAGCAGATTAGAGCATCTCTCCTTTCACTGCTGTCTCCTCACCACTCTCTCTTGTTTGTGACGTCACAATGGGCTGTGCAGTCAACGGCCGTTACTTTTCCAGCTGATTCCAAGCTGCGTTTTATCCAAGCAGCATGTCAGTATAATCAAAAAGCCAACAGTAAGCCCTGCAGGGGAAATCTGGTATTAAAATTGGCAGGTTGCTTTGTTTTAGACTCATTGTAGACTTGTAACAACAGCCGGTGAGCAAACCCGACTTTGTAAATTTTACTAAGAACATAAGAAATTTACAAACGAGAGGAGGCCATTCGGCCCATCAAGCTTGTTTGGGGAGAACTTAACTAATAGCTCAGAGTTGTTAAAATCTTATCTGGCTCTGATTTAATTGAACCCAGGGTTTTAGCAGGAAGACTATTCCATACTCTAACTACACGCTGTGTAAAGAAGTGTTTTCTCAGATTCATTTTAAAATGATCTCCTGCTAATTTCCACTTATGGCCGCGAGTTCTAGTATTTATATTAAAGTAGCCATTTGTCTGAACAGCATCCAGACCTGTTAGAATTTTATATACCTGTATCATGTCCCCCCTTAATCTCCTTTGCTCGAGGCTAAAAAGATTCAGCTCAGCTAATCTCTCCTCATAAGACACTACCAATGAAATTGTCATCCAAGATAAAGCTGATTATTAGTCCCCAAAATGCATTCACTGCTTGAGTTCCAAAGTTTTCAGATCTATACGATTCCCAAATGAAGTGTGTTGTAATTCTTTTCTTAAAGAATGTTGTGACAAGGGTGGGGCAGGTTCAACACAGATTTTTCAGTAACAAGGTAGAGTCAACTGCTGGTTTATATGTATTTTCTAATGCAAACTCTACATGCTGTTTAATATGCTGCTGTGAAACGCTGTCAGTTGCATTTCCACCGAAAATCTTTGCATCCTGCGGATCAGATATCAGTCTTTACGCAGAGGAAGTAACCCGAAAAATATAATGAAATTATATGATGGTTTGAAAAACGTAACCACAAAAGAATTAGGACTTCTGTGATGTTTACAGGTTAAAGGTAAGACATGAATAAACATCTCAAGACTTCAGTTTGATCAAATAACCGTAATAGCTGTGGAATCTTCAATATGATGTCATAAATACTGTATATTCAAAGACTGTAGGCTTTGCTATCTATCTTCATCCTGTATCTGTCTCAGTCCATGGTGCTATAGAATATCACAGATTGCTACATTTGGAAATATCACAGATAAGCCTCAGGAACATCTGCCCCATCTTCCCGTAGGGTGAGCGATTTGCATGCTGTCTCTCTCAGGATCTTCGTCTTAGTTTACATATTCTCTTTGTGCCATCGGCTGCGCTCTTGGTCGGAAGCTGAATTTGGATTCGCGGCAGCAACACAACACTGGCCTTCCTGCTGCACTCGAAGGAGCGCCTCTCAGACCAGCCTGCTAGCGTTAACGGACGCAATTGCGTAGATAGGGGGTTATTACATCACATTAAAGGCGTATATATAGTTATAGCTACTGCCGGGCTGTAATGTTAGGAGAATCTTGACAACATGTTCGAAAGTCAGAAGCGCAGTTGCAGATGAGTTCGGTTGCCTGAGTGGCATGAACCGATTACCAACCTCTTTTCGGTTAATTTGTAGCAGCATGAATGGGTAAAAGAGTGCAAAATTATAATTTACGTAAGTTACTGTGGGTCATTAATAAAAATAAAAGGGTGCATATCTTTTTAGATTTTGCTTTATGCTGCTATTTAACTGCAAGACCTTTTATTGGAACTGGGAAATAGTTTGTCTCAGAGATATTATGCATTGAAGAACCTGCTTGACTTTGTTTTGAAAATATCTTCCAGTGAAGGGCATACTACTTCAAGCACAGGCAGCTGCCAGATTATTGTGATGAACAAGGGCCTTTGCCTCATCTCTGGCATTCAGGTAGCCTGTGATAATTTCCCCTTGAGAGTCCATCAGAGGCAAATCAGCGAGCAGCAAGTGGTCTGCACTGCAGGTCTTTTCAGGCTGGAGTATTGATCCAGGTGTCAAAGGTTAAGTTGAAAGGGCATATAGTCTGCCAGCACACATCACAATCACCTGACAATTGCCCCATTGTACTTCTAGACCTGATCATTTTAATGCATGTTTCTTTTTCGATATTAGTGCTGTTTGCCAGCTTTAAAAGCACAATGCAGGTCCCTCTTCTGTGTTCCGGTCTCATTCAGAATGAGCCCTTTGCGTTTCCTCCACACCCCGCGTCAGGTGGGAAATGCATATAATAGTACGACAATCAAAGCCTCGAAGCAAAACTTGAAATTACAACGACACAGGGAGTTATTTGAGACAAGCACTTCACCTATTTGAAATGACTTGGGACTTCGCTGGTTTCATCTGAGGGTTTTTTTAAGCCACATAAAGCCAGACCTACATGACAGGTTTACTTTTAGTCAGTAAAGGGTTTCCTTTAACCCACAACACTATGGCAAAGTAGGTGAGAACATATTGTATTACGTATGAAGGACATCTGCATCCATGTGATTCTTTTGCTTTCGATGCAAGTAGCTTATGCATAACTGCGTTTTCTGAGTGTATATCTTTGATTAAACCCTTGTTGTGCATGGTGGCCAAGCTGAGCCTGGAAGATGGAAAATTCCTTTCCTCTAATGGAGAGTCGCTGTTTTTCAGGCCTGATGGAAATCCGATCCGTCAGCACAGGAGTCGTCGTCATCAGATCTGTCAGCACGGGGCTGTATCTGGCCATGTCCAAAAGAGGGGATCTCTACGGGTCGGTAGGTACAGCCTACAGCACTGCCCGAAATTTCAATTATTTGAAGGGGTCGTCTTCAACTTTGGGTTTTGAGTCCTATCGCCTTTCTGTGTGGAGTTTGCATGTTCAGCCCATTTCCTCTGGTTGCTGGTCGCTTCATAGTGCATGTGTGATGGACTGGCATCCCATCCAGTGTGTACCCCTGTCTGCTGTGCTGTGATAGAAGGAGGGGTGAAGTGATCTACTTCTCTATTCTTTATTGTCTACAGTTTCTCCTTGTAACAATTCATAAGCTTCCAGAACCATCTAATTTTTCCTAAACTATGAAAACCTTAGAATGAAAACTTAACAGATGTAGAATGTAGATCTCAGCCAGAGTTATGTGGTGTAACATATGAGACATGTGTCATGCTTCTCCATGTAGAGACAAGCAGTGGGGTCAGACCTGTCTTAGGTTCCCTCACCGCTTGCACAAACCTGGCTGAGCATGAGTCATAAACTGAGTATTCTCCGTGTCTCAGCATAAACACATTCACCAAACAAAACACATTCACCAAACAAAACACAATCACCAAACAAAACACATTCACCAAACAAAACACATTCACCAAACAAAACACAATCACCAAACAAAACACATTCACCAAATAAGACCACAGAGAAAGGCCAAGATGAAAAGGGACACTCTGCTCTGTTGCATCACTATTAGTGCAATAAAAGCAATATGCATTTGACCCTTTGATGAATTTTGGTGGTATACTGGAGATATTTCCCCTCACATTACTGATTTTCTCTTTTTACCTACTTTGACCTATAGCCCTGCTGGCTAATAGCAAGCATCATGACTAAAAGCAGACGACCTGATATGACATCAATGTTAAATCATGTTCGTAAAACGAATCTAAAACAAGATCTTTCAAACACTTCCCCAAATTTTCATCCATAAATAGATCACTAATTCACTTTAATTTTTTTTTGTCTATAATCATTAACTGAAGTAAGCAGGTATTCCTTGTTTTGTTTTCTATACGTAATGAAACGACCAGAATCACAGCCTGTGATATTCTTGGCAGTTTCATTGCCAGTTAGAATTTGCTGTTCAGTATTATAAATCAGACACTGACCCCTTTATTTTAACATAGGTACCATTACATGGGAATACTGTTTAAAAAGAGGATGTTGGCAGTGAGAAAAGAATGCCTTTAAATTATATTAATTTTATTCTCAGGTGACTCCTGTTACAAACAAAAAAATCTCAGGATGATAAAAATAATAGGAAAAATACAGTTCTTTGTTCAAATTGTAAGTAATACCATTTCTGCTGGGTTTATAGGGCACTGTTGGATCGTCTGCAAAATTAGGTATAATTTTTGGGTGGGATTCCCTTGTATTTTCCCGCACCCCTTATCCAGGTGGCATACACTGCAGCGGAATGCCAGTTCCGGGAACGCATTGAGGAGAACGGCTACAACACGTACGCGGCCCGTCAATGGAGCCTCAAAGGACGCCCGATGTTTGTGTCGCTGGGGACTCGGGGGAAACCCCGGAGCGGCCGCAAGGCCCGCCGTCGCCACCGGTCTACCCACTTCCTGCCCATGCCGCCCATATAAGGAAACGGCGACCCCAGCTGCAGCATGACTGCCGCCAACAGCATGACTGTAAACTAATAAGACTAAAAATCAGTCTCTGTGTTTTTTTTTCCCAGAAGGGGGAGTGCGCAGAAGGGGGGGAGACACGTGTATTTATTCATTTTTAAGCTGCTAAAAGTTCATAGATGAATACTGATGCTGATGTTGTTACAGAAAGGGTGGTTTGAATTAAAGTCTCACCATTATGCAGCAAGGCACTGCATATAATTCAATTTCAACTTATTTCTTTCTGTTCTTGCAAGAACCTTAAAATTATGTACTGGACGTGGAGACTTTAGGGGCTGGGGTGCCAGTTTGAACATCATCAGTATCAGCACAAGAGAACAGTGAGCTGTCCCTCAGCATTGCCTAAACCAAAACAAGCTCAATTCATTACGCAGGCTCAGCCTGCAGCACCATCTTTTGGCTGCTTGTCTGGTTACTAGGCAACACCTTTCCTGACTCACTCTGTCCCCCTGTTAAATTACACATCACTGTTTTTAGTCGTTTTTGCCAAAGCACTGTCAGAAAAGTTTTTGTATGTTGGTTTGCTTAATAAAACATCTGGTAATGGAATACGTTTCTTTAAAGATTTATGTGATTCTTGTTTTCATTCCACTGAATTTTAGTCTGTCTGTGACACAGGAAAGGTGCTCCAGGAGTTTACAGAGGTCAGCTGCATTGTAAACAACGGCCACAGATATTCGTATGAAGCATAAACAAATCCTACCCCAATGATAACAAAAGGATTTAATTACAGCATGAATGATAGGTCTGCAATAAATATACAATGGTTTAAAAACAATCATCCTGTTTACAACAATTCCTTTCACGAACAGAACAATTTATGTGATCACGTGAATGGAAGAAGGGTTTCCTCATCATTGCATCAGAGGCCCAGGAAAATCTTCCTGGCAAATTGATGTCAGAGACCTATTCTTCAGCAATAGGTACACCTTCTACACCTTCTATATATGACACTTTCAAGCTTTATAAAATTCAATAGATGCAAGCTTGTTTAAAATATTGTGGACTTTAGATAGTGTACGTTCGAATGTGTTTTAAGACAGATATGACCTCTAAAATATAACCATTCGCATTTACTTCTAAAAGAATGGTGACCCCTACCGTTCATTTGCCTGTTAAATATTTGATATTTTCCCCCACGCTGCAGCCTGTATTTTGCGCATGTGTAAAAAATAGACGTATGATGTATTGATGTGTTTTGTTAGCTTGAAACATAATAAATATTAATTCAACAAATACATTCCTGGTTTTAAATATAACAAAAGTTGCCTGTTAACTTTTCTGAATAAAATATTACTTGGGTTATCATTATCATATAAATTCTATATGTTTCATATACATATGAACTCAATAAATCCATATAGTTTTCATTAGCGAATCTGAAAACGGAAGTGCGGCGCAGAAAGATACAGTTAAAATAAAATGTCTAGCACGATATACTAGTGCACAGTGGGTAATGTCGTTCACTGGATGGTCATTTTAATGTTGGGAAATCATTTCATATATAAAGTAGGTATTTTGAATTATACTGCAAACCAAAATACAAAAAATAGTCCCCAAATGTTATGTGTGGTATGTTTGGTTTTGCGTTTCATTCTTCCACTTTCATCTATTTTCATGAACTTAAAATGCCAGTCAGGAATTAACATCAAATCCCACTGTCCACTGCGATAACGTATTTTACGTCGGGAAGGGCTGCCGGATTCATCAGGTCTTGGGAGTTGTAGTTTTTTACACGACGCTTTCTTTTTGCCCGTTTTGCTCAAGGTTTGTGGAGCTCGCGTAAGGTACACTGCTCTCTGCAGAGAATTACATCACACAGACATGAAAATAGACGTCAGGTAATTCTCAGTTAATATCACTTGTTAAATCGGGTGACGGAAGGAATTAAGGACATGTAATTGAGGCTATTTAATCCCATGGGTTTGCCTGTTGCGCATGCTACTATATTGTCATGACAGTTGTCGCTTAATATATCTGAATTAAATGCGAGCCTAGTTTATTGTGGCACATGACGTAGTCCGCGGTTTGGTCTCTGCTGTTCTGAGAAAATATTATTAGGGAGATATAGGAAGCGATTATTTTAACAATATATGTTTTGATGGATATGTAATAACAGAAACCACGCATTCCTGTACTATGTATGCACATAGATGACAGTAATTGATGACAATAATAGCTCGCCGAATATTAGACCTCAAACACAATGGCCAGTGAATAAATGAGCCTCTCCTTTAAGGTGTCATTTTGGAGCTCGGAATGAAAACAGTGTTTTTCTGGACACTGCAGCATTTTGTGAAACAAGATGCAATATGGGCGACATTGTTATTGTTGATATCCGGTTGTAGCGAAGGGGTAAATATATATTTTTGACCGCCAGTGTAATTAAACGTAATTATTTATTTTTAATTGAAAAGGAACAAAATATTTTAATTTCACTTGAAGGAAATCACATAAATTATTGATTGGCCACGTCATCGTATCATTGTATCTATAATATATTGTTACATATTGAAATATTATCATATATACATATTGCTCGCAAACTTGATCGTTTTTTGGAATTGCTGCTCTTTAGAATTGATGTCTTTTTTGTAAACGCTAGTAATTATAAGAGGTTTCCGTTGTGCATAGCCTTCACAGCTGTCCAAAATAGAAACGAAAGCGATGAAACATGCAGGAAGTTAACCTTAGCTTCAGCTATGACAGATAATCATTTTTACGATGTGACGAATGGCGACATGCAAACCAACAAATTTGTTGCAGCGTCATAGATAGTTTCGGCTTTAAACCAGCGCAATATCTAAATAACTTTTTATCCATTTGCGCATCTGGTAAGGATTAACTAAACAGGTGAAGGATTTGCAGTTGTCATTAACTATGTTTTGAGAAAGTAGGTGTGTGAAGCGTGACAGCGGTGCTTGTGGACGTGTCGGAGACAGTATATATCCTTTACATCTCACGATTTCCTGACTGCGTCACTCTGCCAGTATCTAACGTGACAATCAGTCGTCGTCGCTGTTTTCCGGATTCCATGTGGAGACGCCTCTAAAGCAGCCCTGATCTCCGATCTCTAAACTCTTAAACAGGAACGGGAAAATGATTACAGAATGATTTGACCTACGTAAAATCCCTCCCCCCTCCAAAAAAAAAAAAAAGCATAAGCAGTGATTTTTACATTTTGCGCTGTTAAAGAGCATTACATGAGGCCAGCTATAGATTAGACCAGGGTTTCCAACTTTGGTCATTTTGAATTCGAGTCCAGTCTGCGCACACATTTACATATATGTTCAGTTTTGTTACCTTGTAAATAGTCTGTAGAGTCTGCAAACTACTTCAGCGCTTTTTTGTATTAAATTATAATTTTAGGTTTATATTATTTACAGGAATAATAGATTTGCCGTAAGACTTCTTGCGTGAGTGTCACAGGAGATGTGTGAGATTTTGCAACCCTGGTTAAATACTGGAATTTTAAATGAACAAACGACCTTTTTCTAATGGTCGAGTGTTCGGGATTTACATGCGGCTTTATCTCTGTTTAATTTTTTATTTTCTCTGCAGCACTGTTTGAATTTATGGGAACATGTCCAAGAAAAAAGGCAGGTATGCTGAAATACTCTTTAAGCACTACAGGCTGCTATTACCTCTGTATGATGTACAGTGTTCTTTTTCTATGGAGTTGTACATTCATTACTATTCTAAGGTTGGTAGGATATCAGTTTAGATGGTGCATCTCTACCACAAAGTGTCTTACAGGATATTAAGGCTGCCCAAGGCAGCTGCTCTGTGTTTAATGGGCAGTTCTGTTAGATTTGATCCACCATGATAACTTTGGGGGATGGAGGTTCAGCTCAGCAGTACAGTAGCTAGCCCAGAGACCTGACCTCTAGCATCACATCTTTGTGATGAAATGGCTTTTGAATTGCCTCTGCATAACCAGAGCCCAAATACAAAAGCTGCTTCTCGATGCACCGAAATGGTCATTAAGGCCAAAAATGGCCCGACATACTATATATTCCTCATGAATTTAAAACAGCATTTGTGACACCAGAGTGGGCTCACTACTGGTGTTTGTTGTTATTATGTCGAACATTATGACGCATTCAGCTATGGGATTATTACCCCCCCAGTGGTAGACATCCTGTGTTGTGTATACACACTATGAGATGGAGCAGCTCCCATTCAGGAGGTGGTGGGGTAACTGTTTGCACTCGGCGGGGGGGGGGGTTCCGTGCAGGAAACGCAGCAGTGGGGAGCTGGGCGATACCTTGACTCCTGACCCCAACAACATGGTGGGCATGCGGATCCAGCACAGCTGGCGGGAGAAGGGCGCTCTCACCAAGTGGAAGGGCACCGTCCTCGACCGCTTGACCGTCAACAACTCGCTCTTCATGGTCAAGTACGACGGCTTCGATTGCGTCTACGGCATCGAGCTCTTCAAGGATGCTCGGGTCTCCAACCTGCAGGTCCTCACTGAGAAAGTCGGTGAGTGACAGCATGGGGGGCACTATGCCAACTTGGTGTGGAGGGGGTGCTGATATCTATTTGCTCTGGTGCTTTTTTTCATGATGCGTCAGTGTATTACAGGGCTGGGCAATTAGTCGAATTTTAATTTCAATTGCGGTTTTGGCTTCCAACGAGTATCAAAACGAAATAGATTGTGATAAAATGATCATTGTGCCGCATTTCGTTTCACAATGATGCTCCCGTTTTGTCTTGTGTTATAAATCCAGAAACCCCCTTTCCATCCCCTTTTATTTGTTTCTTAGTTGAATTATATTTAGAGTTCATGGAAATCTACGGTTAAAAAGATTTTTTTTTCGACATTCAATAAAATGTATGATATTACTAAAGTCGTTGAGTAATTGTGATAACCATGATCTCAGTACTGACCAAAATAATCATGATTATGATTTTTGCCATAATCAAGCAGCCCTAATATATTAGAAGTAGAATGCTGTTATTGTTTTCTGCATTCCGTGCATTAAAAAAAAATGCCTGAGATCTGTGCGTTCTTGTGCAGTGAACAATAAGATCAAGGTCCCTCACGATGCAGAGGAGCTAGTGGGCAAAGCGGTGGAACACCTATTTGAGAAGGAAGATGGAGAAAAGAATGAATGGAGGGGAATGGTGCTCTCTCGGGCTCCCATCATGACCAACTGGTACTACATCACCTATGAGAAGGACCCTGTCCTCTACATGTACCAGCTCTGGGACGACTACAAGGATGGAGACCTGCGTATTTTACCCGAAGCAGGTAAACCACCACCCGCTGACGGATGCCCGAAGCTTCTAGAGAAACGGTTTTGAGTATGGCTGCACAATATCACATCGCGAATATGTTACGCATGTGCAAAAATCACCAGGGCTTTGGATGGCGGGTGTAAAACTTTGTCCGGACTGTTTCCGGTAAATTAAGGAAGCGATAAGCAGTGAAGAGGCGGCGAAGAAAGGGACTGCTTAGCAAAGACGCAACATCTTTTAAAAGAGGAGATACTGTGGATAGACGAGGCAAAAAAGATGTTGGTGCCGTGACGGTACTTTTTGCATTTTAAAGCCTGACGTTAAATATAAGGATATGCAGTATTTATACAGATTACTAACTTTTGGGATTAATAATTAATATTAATAATTAATATGAATTATTATTTTAGGCACACTACTAACCTACTTATCAAATTTTGGGTGTAAGTAAACATCTGTGTAGTACCTAAAAGCTGCTGCCTGGACAAATTTTTACGTCTGTTACGTAGAGTCCTGGTAATTATTTCATATGTGCGCTACATGTACGCTATATTGCCAAAAGTATTGGGACAACTGCCTTTACACACACATGAACTGTAATGACATCCCATTCTTAATACATAGGCTTTAATATGGAGTTGGCCCCCCCTTTGCAGCTATAACAGCTTCAGCTCTTCTGGGAAGGCTGTCCACAAGGTTTAGGAGTCTGTTTATGGGGATTTTTGACCATTTGTCCAGGAGAGCATTTGTGAGGTCAGGCACTGATGTTGGTCGAGAAGGCCTGGCTCACAGACTCTGCTCTAATTCATCCCAAAGGTGTTCTATCGGGTTGGAGGTCAGGGCTCTGTGCAGGCCAGTCAAGTTCCTCCACACCAGACTCGCTCATCCATGTCCTTATGGACTTTACTTTGTGCACTGGTGCACAGCCATGTTGGAACAGGAAGGGGCCAAACTGTTCCCACAAAGTTGGGAGCATGAAATTGTCCAAAATGGCTTTGAATGCTGCAGCATTAAGAGTTCCTTTCACTGGAACTAAGAGGCCAAGCCCAACCCCTGAAAAACAGCTCCACACCATAACCCCCCTCCACTTTACACTTGGCACAATGCTGTCACCACGCTTGAATTCACTGAGCTCCTCAGAGTGACACATTCTTTCACAAATGTTTGTAGAAGCAGTCTGCATGCCTAGGTGTGTGATTTCATACACCTGTGGCTATGGCAGTGATATTGTAACACCTCAGTACAACGATTTGGAGGGTTGTCCCAATACTTTTGGCAATATAGTGTATTGCAATTATATCGTGATATCGTATTGTGCAAACCAAGTTTTGAGACCATAAGGAGAATAAAAAATTTGAATATTTATTGTATTATAATTTTTTGCTTAATTGGAAAACACTTATATATTGCATGTTTCCCTTTGTTTCTTAGAGAACAAGCACTTACTCCCAGCTGACAGGAAGCCAGGGGAGGAGATAGAGAGCCTTGTGGGTAAGCAGGTAGAGTACGTTACTGACAAGGGCGTGAAGAGAACCGGCTTAGTCATCTACCAGGTTCCTGCCAAGCCGTCTGTCTACTACATCAAATACGACGATGACTTTCATATCCATGTCTATGACCTGGTCAAGACGACCTAAAAGGACCCAGCCTTTTGTCCTTTTTGCTTGCTGATCATTACTGGCCATTTTAATGTCCCATTGCATTCTGGGAAAGAGACGGTGGTATACTAGGCTATTGTTAAACCCACAATTCGTCCAGAAGAATCAGTTTATAAAGGGTCTTTTTGTCCGCAGCATTCACTTTGGGTGTCGTTCTGTAGACAACCAAAGAGGGTTGAGGGTGCTTCCTTACAGTGATGGAAGGGTTTTCCCAAATGAACAAAGCGCAACAGCAACGAAGACACATAGATGTTTGTGAGTTTTGCTAGATTGTCAGATATGGAGCATCCTGTATGAAATACCTTAGGCTGTTAAGGTCATAAGCAAGCTATATTTATTTTCTAAATATTTTTCATTCTGTCATACATTCTTATTTCAAGAGGGTAGCTTTGCAAGTTATTTGACATTTTTTAAAATGACTTTCTGAGCTGAGAATAACATATCATTTCAGGAGTTTTAAATTTACGGTTTTAATAATGTGAAGGAACAGAATGCCTTGTTTAGGGCAGCAGTATCTGTACTTTAAATTTAATGTGTTAATGCAATCAGTACTTTGATGATTCAGAGTCAGTGCACTGTAATATGAGATTTTTTTGCTTTTAAGAATGGTTGTCACATAAAGCATCATTGATTCATTTGAATGAAGATTTAGGTAAATGAGAAAAGTAATCGATATAAATTCTGAACAAATAGTCTACGAAGTAGATGTGAGGGAGTTGAAGGTGATGCCAGAACTAACATGATCGGCCAGTTTAATCGCAGATTTTTGTGGTAATTTGAAAAATGCCAGAAATCGATATTTTACTTTTTTCGGCGGTTCTGCATTTGTTGTTATTTTGGTTTCTAATTTAAAAATGTATATTTAGATGGTTTAATGTCACCTTGAATGTATTGTGTAGATCGACGCTATTCCGTGACTTTGATAATGTATATTTTTTGAACGTGCTGTGAGACAGCCAAGCCTTTCTGCACAGAGCCACCCATTAAATATATTGAAAGGAATCAGAATACAGTGAACACAGAATTTAATAAGTTTGTGATTTGCATTTTAAATTGTGATTCACGTGTATTTAAGTTATATGGGTATTCACCTATAAGACCCTAGAGTGGCTATAAGACGTTTTTTGCTTATAAACCTGAAACAGATTTTGAAATGAGCTATAATAGACGACCAGTGGGGGAGTGTGCAGTCATTGACCTTGGTGATGGTCACAGTGATCTAGTAAGAGTGAGTGATGAAGTGTAAGGCGGTTTGGCCTTAACATCTACTGCATTGTGATAAATACTGTCTGTCCCAACACCAGCTCTATGAGGAGTCCAGCAGGCTGGGCTTAAGCTCCCAATCAGAGGGAGCCCTTGGTGATCATGTGACCATGTCATCTCCCTATTTGGTGCACCGTCAGAGTTCTCTCTGCTTAATGTAGCCACTGCCCCATTGACAGATCCAATCTGCAGGGAGCTGAGTATCGGTAGCCCTTACACCGCGGTGGCTTCTGGCCGTCTCAGCCAGGTTCCGCTCTGGCATCCCTCTCGCCATCCTGTAAATGCATAAACTGTTCATTTGTGCATAGCTCATAAAGTGTCCATTTTGTAAATCACATGAAGCAGGCTGAGACGATAACAGCTAAGTACAGCACAGTTTCCTTGTACATACACATCTGTCACAAACAGGCATAATTAATGTCCTCTGGGACGAAAATAATATTACTTGTGATATTAAACCATACAGCTATATATATATTTAATTTATGCATTATATGAATTGTATGTATCCATCCAAATTTAAAAACTCCCATTTTGGGCAATTAGCATGAATTCATCTCTGACCACGATACCCACAGGCATTTTCGCCTGGTTTTACTCACCGGTAATGAATTAGGATAATGCACTCTGCTAACGTTCGGTCATATTATCCCATGGGTAGTTTGTATACTTGTCAGTAGGGAAATTAAGCAGCACTCTGTCACCTTACTCCATCAACTTGTGTAAAGAAAAAAAAGTTTTGCATGATAATTTACACTCTTGCATTATTCCCATTGTGAATACCAAACTGTCCATTAAATGATGCAATTAGGTCCTCGGTGTTTGGTTGTAATCTGTCCTTGTGCTTTTGATTTAATGTACTTGTAAATGCTCCCTAGAAATACCCTTCAAATGACGTGTTCAATCAGGCTGATTTGATCGATAGCGGTGCCCCTTTTCTCTCCTTTATGTGCGAGGAAACACACATGCTGTCTTTTCACAGGTTGATGACTGTTACTGTCATTTCAATAAATCTTTTGTTACTAAATGATTAACTACTGGTGTGTGGGAATGTCAGTAACGGAAAATAAGTCAAAAATATGACAACACACAAGAACCAGACAATATATACAAAACATTCGCCGATTCTTAAGGCATGTCACAGCACTGTCTGCTACAATTTATTTCAAGCAGAGTATATTTAATAAACATAATTACAGTATCTTGCCTGATATAATCATTTCTTCAGAAAATTTTACCTATGTAATTTTTACTAAAAACAGAAAAAAAAAACATTTTTTGTACATATCTATGTACATTCTTGTAAATGAATATTGAACTTGCGTTCAATTTTTCACTGCTGTTGTTTCCAAATTAGTTGAAAATTTCAGTAAATAAAACAATGGGATGCTGTTAGAAAATATAACCTGTCCATAGAAGCTAAGCTGCAATGGGATTCTAGAATGTGTTGCAAGGGACATTTTGGGTGCTGGTTTGCATTATTGCTATTGACATTAAGGACACTGTTGTGTACGTCGCCGTTGCTGTTTAGCACTTCTGAAAGACTAGAACGGTTAAACGCAGAAATGCTACAAAGTAGCATTAGCTCTGTAGATAAAAGTCTGCATTTACAGGTCTGGTAAAATGGCGCAGCTTCTTTTATCCATTCAACAAAGCAGCACAAAGTCAATGCTATTTGGAGGTATATTTGTTTGTAAATTGTCCATCTGTGTCATTTGCACAATAATATTCTTAATCCTGGATTGCAGGGCTTCTGAAATCTATGATTTTATATGAGTGTTGGAGTAAGAACACCCTTCGGACACTGATGGGTACGTATGTACCAGCGCTTCGGACCGAAGAACCTCATGGTCAAGACCAATTATGAACAAATCGTGTTTTCTGGTATTTATGGGTATCTAATCCTTGCTTGTGCTAGTTCCTTTGTAACGTGTGGTTTTGTGCACTCTCCAACCTCGCTGGAAGGCTGCTTCGCTTCAACCTTCCCTCGCTGTACTTGTTATCACTGCTGTTAACCAAAGCTTTGCTAAGTAGTGTTGAACTCATCATCCCGTTTGTGTAATGATACTATGGTTAATAAAGAGATATTTTTTGCACTTTTGATGTCATTGGATATATTTATACTCACTAGTCATTGTACTAGGGACGCCATTAATACTAGGATAGCCTATCATACTAGGCTTTCAGAACAGCTTGTACTCTTCTTGGTGTGGACTCAACAAGGTGCTAGAACCATTTTTTCGACATTCTGGCTTATGTTGACGCAATTGCCTCATGTAATTACTGTGACTCTCCTGTCCCTCCACATCCCAAAATGTGTTCTGTTGGAGTCAGATCTGGTTATGGGGGAGGCCATTTAATTACCCTGAACCCTTTGACACATTCCTAAAACCAGTTTGACTCGTGCTTTGTGACATGGATGTATTCTCTTGTTTTCAAGTTTTGAGTTTTATTTGTACATTGGTGTAATGAAATGCTTTTCCCACCTGTACCCTGGACTGAGCTCAAGAAGAATAGGGCCGATATGAAGAATATAAAATAAATCAAATTAAAATAACAAAAATAAATGAAAATTAAAAAGAAGACGAAATATAAAAGCAATAATATAAATATGCAGTCTAACTCAGAATGTAGTAAAATGAGGAATGTCTGAAACAGTGTGGTGATAGTATAAAGCGTCTTTCATGTCACCTCTAACGCAGGACTATTCAAATCACAGTCCTCCAGGGCCAAGCCCTGCTGATTTTCCAGCCTTCCTTTACCTGTGAGCCAGGTGTGGAGCCTCTGACCAATCAGAATCAGTAATTATTAAACTAACTACCTGGGAGAACTGAAAACAAGGCCTGGATTTGGATTCGAGGGGCGTATTTAAGGAGCCCTGCTCTAAAGAGTCCTCATTTAGTAAACGGACAGTCTCTTGGTATCGGCCTTCGTGTTGCATTAGTACCTGACAGCAGCAGGTATTTGTCTCTACACCGTCTCCTGTAGGAGGGCTATTAATCTGTTCATTCCATCCATCTATCCATCACGTACTGCTTTACCGCTCTCCAGCGTGTCCTGGGTCTTCCCCGGGGCCTCCTCCCAGTGGGACATGCCCGGAACATCTCACCAGGGAGGCGTCCAGGAGACATCCTGACCAGATGCCCGAGCCACCTCATCTGGCTCCTCTCCATGCGGAGGAGCAGCGGCTCTACTCTGAGTCCCTCCCGAATGACCGAGCTCCTCACCCTATCTCTAAGGGAGAGCCCAGCCACCCTGCAGAGGATCACCCCATTTCGGCTGCTTGTATTCGCGACCTAGTTCTTTTGGTCACTACCCAATCTGTTCATTCATTTTTGGATATTGCTGCTTCCCTGTATTGGCTGCCTGCCTAAGGGTCTGAATGGTCTGGGCCTGAGGACTGCAATGTAACCGTCTGGGACCTTAAGGACGCACTAACCTCTGCCCCTGTTCTTCTATTCCCTGACCCTGCAACCACATATCTATTGGTTATATTGGCTGGTTTCAGAGCTGCCGGATGTGTTGAATAGCCAAAGAGGAAGGTACAGTGGAGCATGTGTGGGACTCGGATTTTCACCTGGGGGAGATACGTCTGTGGGGAGACTTGCTTCTCATCATCTTAGGCTCTCCTTCTCTCCACATCTTTACCTTAATTATTATACTAGAGCTGTATCAATAATGCGATTAAGCTTAATATCGCAATTTATGTAGTGAACTTTTCGAAGACGTTGCAAAAAAATGCAACAATTCTTTCAGTTATTTCAAGCTAGTGGCGTTTTACCCATTATTACTGCTCCACGTGGTTTCTCTTGTTTTCTTTCGCATCAAAGCCGAAATGTACAGTATACAGATCGGTACGTTTCTCCCGACTTAAAACCGACTGTGACACATCTGCAAAGCAGCAGGAGTTCAGACACCGAAATGCATAGTTTCTGCTTGACATATAGATGCATGGATTACGCGCTGGAAACCGGTTAGATCAGCACGATCCAATCATGCGCAGGTACATCCAGCACCGTGTAAAGTTACTACTTTTCATTGGACCGGCGTCTAATCAGGTGTTCTTCCTGACTTTTTCGTCTTTGTTTCTATTCGTTGACAATAGTGTCAGTACATTATCTCATTAATTGGTGGCATTCCGAGTAGTTATTATAGTAGAACATACTGAAGTGCACGGACTATCTCGTAATAGCAGCGCCGGTCAATGAAATTTCTGTCATCTAAGAGAAATGTGCATTTTTCATTCCTTTGGCTCTTCCGCGATGTTTCTTGCGAAGCTAAGTGCAGTGATTGTTATAATAACAGCGTTCTTTTGGAGGGACACATTTGATCCAGGTGAGTTTATTTATTTATTTTTTCTTTTTAATTTTTATGAAAGAACAATGTTTAATACACAACAATATAGAACAATAAATAACGTTTACATTGTTTTCATAGATCACAAAAGGAGAGGCGCGTTATGACATGAATAAACCTATACTAAAATGGAAACTGTGGATTTTGTTAGATTGCCTTTCAACGGCATTCAAGTGTACAATTTTAAACAACGAGTATATGCTGTACCTAGGACATGATTAACTATACATTTCCTAAAAAGAAGTTCTACATGTGGAATTTTCATGATTGCATGGAGTTTTCCGTCCCCGTCCAAGAACATCCAATTCGCCTTAGCACACAGCGACGTATAAGCCAGTCAGACAGTACATTATACATGCATACAGCTGTCAGAAGCCAACTAAGCTTAATGCAGCTACGGTAAGCTGCCAATAGATGCCTAGTTGTAAGTGAGTAGTATTAGAGCAAGAGCTATACATGGCAGGAACATTGTGTCATAATAATTAACATCAAATTGCAACACTAAGAGCACTGAGAGATCGCGAGAGATTGTAGAGAAAAGCTAGTGAAGATGTTCCTGGATCAGATGGATCTTGAACGTTAAGAGGGAATCTGATGACTGGGTGTACAGTACTGTGCAAAAGTCTTAGGCAATCGAAAAAAATGTAATCGCATGTTTGCTCAGAATACATTCTTTCATCTGCTTTTCAAAAAGTTGCTGATACCTTGTTGGAGAGCTAAATAAACTGCGTTTTGGTTCCTAAAACCTCTTTTTAGGGGCACCTCAGCCATTTGATGTATTTGCTAAATTTCTCGACCCGCTCTAATAATTAATTTGATTTGTTAAATAACTCAATGGGGTATCGATTAGCCAAACAAGGTGGGGTCGAGGTTCAGTCAAAAAATACATGGTGTGTTGGACGGTTGCTGCAAGTACTGCGGTGATTTTAGGAGAGGTTTTGAAATGGCTGAGCTGTCACTTTGACAGATTTATCAAAGACTTAAGATCAAGATGAAGATCAGTTAAACACCATTTTCTTTGACTGCCTAAGACTTTTGCATAGTACTGTAGTTTGGTAGCTCATTCCACCATCAGAGGACTCCACACAAGAACCTTTTAGAGTGAGACCTTCCATGTGGATGAAGGATCACCAGGCAGTGCTGGCTATCTAATCGAATAAGGTGAGATGGGATGTAGGCCTTGATGAGTTTCTTGATGGAGATGAGTGTGGTTCCATTAATGACAAGGGCTTGAACTTGACATGCGGCCCAATAGGGGGCCAATGTAGAGAGCCAAGGATGGGGGTCTTGTGAGAGCATTTCAGCTAATGGGGAGGAGGAAGCTGCAGCGTACATTGCCCAGGCACTGTCCAGAAAAGGCTTTCTGTCAGAGCCCAATCAAACACAAGACTCGCAATAGAAGCCTCCCTGGGACCAGTATTCATTTAAAATGTGTAGAACGGCTGTGAGTAGAGTTTATAAAAAGGCGATAAGCAGTCAGGATACATGCTTAGACTTTGTCAATGTAAGATGGTTCCAGGTTGACTTTGTGGTCTGTAATGGACGCAGGGCATGGTGCAGGCGGGAAAGGTGACCATCCACTTACGGCTCCAGACAAAGGGGCTTATTAAGCAAGCAGAACACACTTTGGAGGGCACAAAATAAAGGGGACTGCAAAGGATCAAAAGGCAAAAGGGGACGACAAGAACTAACATAAAGACACCATAGAAAAATACAAGAAGGGAGCAGGACACCTTTACAGATAAACATTCCATGACTCACTGGCTAACAAGACAATGCAGGACGTGTGAGAACAATACCCAAATAACCAATCAATGAAAGCACAGGACAATGAGCAACAGGTGCGGCTAATTAGCAGAACTAGAAAGTTTTAGATATCAAAACTAGGATACAAACCAGACACTAGTACTACAATGCAAATCAAATCAATGCGGAATAGAATGTAACAAAACAAAAATAAGAACAGAACACAGGAAAGGGCAAACGGATGACTGAGAAAGAAATAGGAAGTAGTACACACTGGGGAAACAGAAACACCAATAAATACAAAATAACAGATAAGGCTGGCATCTGGTAGCCTTGAAGCCCTGATCATAGGGTTAACAGTCCAAGGCACACGTTCAACCCACTGAACGATGCAGTGCTCTGGGGAATAGGCGAAACACATTAGGGACTAGCATGATGACAGAGGAGGGAACAGGATGTCTAGCAACACCTGCTGGCCAAGTGGGGGAGAGACATGAAGGACAGGGATAGACGTGTGCTGACCCTGGCAGTGGTCTAATGTATGTCTCAGTTTTTTGGGCTTAAATTTAGAAGCCCCATATGCAGCATAAACCCAGCACTGTCAATGCCTGCGAGAAGATGCTACGGCAGCAGCAGCATGTTCTGAACATGGTTCTCCTCATTGTTAGAAGTGAAGGAAATGGCCGTGGGCCGGAGGAAAGGGGGCTGCTGCAGTACAGCGTGTTTCGGCCCTTTAAATGAAACGTAAACCCTGCCGACCTGCGATATGACTGAGATGATGGTCCACAGAGCACTGCAGATAACATTGTGTTCCAGCCAGTGTGCCAGGATTGTAGGCACCAACCCCAACTGACTTATTTCTTATTATTGGTCCAGTTAGTTCTCTGTTGAAACTGTACAACTGTATTATACTTTTTTCAGTTTTACACATTTACAGAGGATGCTGATATTTGTGCCTAGCAGTTTAATTTCTGTATGAGACAAATGATAAACA